GTATCGGCAAGTACTCAGATCCAAGTATCGGTATCGTATCGGTTTGAAAAAATTGGTATTGTTGCATCCCTAGTGTCATCTGCATAGATGACACTAGGGATGACATAGGTCCACCGCTCGCATGTTCTTTAGTTCTGCAGAAAAACGGGTCTCAGAGAGGATTTCGATCAGCATCGTTGGTACATTAGTACTTGTGTCCTGCGTCCTTCAGGTTCTGCGGGCGATGCTGGGGCTGCAGGTGACGGAGGAGCAGCTGCAGAGCATAGCTGAGCGAGCCATTCAGGAGGCCGACCTCGACAAAGATGACGCCATCTCCTTTGACGAGTTCAAAAAGGTGAGACTCTTACCTGCTTCATGCTGCATCTGATCAAAAATCTGGGCTCTAATTCGCACAAATACAATAATAAATGTATAAAATATACTGTGGGTGGTGGTTCAAACACCTCTCAAAGCTCACACATGATTTAGGACCAGAATTTATTTCTGTCTGAGAAACAGAAGAAGAAGAAGAAGGAGGAGGAGGGACTTTCTTCAAATCAAATTTATTAAAAAAATTATTGTTGTGTTCATTTGTTTTTCAGTCACTGGAGAAAACGGACATTGATACCAAGATGAGCGTCAGCTTCCTGAAATAAAGACACAACCTGCTAAGAATTTACATCAGCACAAAGATCCCAGCAGGAAACATCTGCAGATTGAGATCAGCTCTCAAACAAACTGGAGATCTGGTGGATGAACTGATGTTACTCCTGTGCACGCTGGGCTGAACACACCTGCAACATGTTAACAGTCTTAAAAAGGGAAATAATAAAGTTTTATTCAAACCTTTTAATGGATCGTTTTATTTAATGTTTAATTAATGTTTGTTCATCAGTGATGTCATGAAGCTTTGTGTGCATTAATAGACATCTTTATTCTCTCAGTTTCATTTCACCACACGTGTTTCTTTCTCTGCAACGTCACATTTAGAAAATGCACACAGATCTGTCAGCATGATTAGTTAGATGATGACCTTTCCCCTCTTTAATATCCTAAAAAAGGTAAACTGAAGTAAACTATAGAAAATTAATCATGTGAAATTAATTCAAACATACAGGTAAATGTGATTAATAAAAGTAAAATGTAAATGAACCACAAAGTGTTTTCGATTGAAACAGCAAAACCTAATAAATAAATTGATCTGTTGTAAAGTTCTGAGAGCGATTCCCTGTGGCTCCCTCTCGTGGACACACTTGGTACTGCTTGGCCACACAGCTTCAGGAGACCTTTTATTTGCGGTGTGATTCTGAGGTGATTCCTTGTTTCAGAAAACAGCATGAGCCTAACAAAGGACGGTGGAGGTCGGTTCAGACGTAAGCCTTGGAGCCGCTGGCGTCTGAGGCCGGAGCTGCTCTGTAGATGCTCCGACCTTGGCCGGTGGTGGAGTAGTAAGAAAACTGCCTGCAGGGGAGCAGATGGATTTTAGAGGGCGGAGCAACAGCGATGTACATAAAACTACGGAGCCCCGCAGGGGACATGGGAGAAAAAAAAATTAACTTAGCCGCATTCTTCGGAGGCCGCCAGCTCGAAGCCGACCGGGAGCTCGAGGCACGATGTGCCGGGAGAGCGGTGTTCCTCCCGGCTGTAGTAGGTCTCGACCTCCCGTTAGCTTCGAGCTAGTGGGTGTCAGATCTCCGAAAATGTCGGAGCACTTTTGCAAATATGTGACGTTTTGTAAACCGAGCAGGTATCTGACGTTTACACAACTACATTCACGCCTCAAAATATCTTAAAAGTTTATTTTGTGACCCAGAAAGAGTAATATTACAACTAAGTAGCTGCCGCCATTGTTGAAATTCAACTTTTGCGAGATCCCGAGTTTGTTTCGCGAGATCTCGCTAAAGTCCGTCGTAATTTTTTTTCTCCCATGTCCCCTGCGGGGCTCCGTATAAAACAGATTCGCTCACCAACTTTTTAAACTATATACATACTTTATATAATCAGATTTGTGGTCGTCAGCTCGTCTGTTACCTGAAGTGCTCTCAGCTGCACAAAAGCTTCACTAATATGCAAAAACGTCAGTTACATTTTCTTTCTTTTTTCATTCTTCTTCATGATAATATAGATTCAGAACCAAGTGGCAACGTCTGTACAATGAATCCTGCAGTTCCTCTAATGTCCACCGGAGGCTTCAGCAGGACGTCCCATAGACTCCCGTGTTTAAATGACCAACTTTACTTTAGAAATAAACACGTTTACAGCCTGATACAAACTTAGAAGTCGTTACTGAGCATTAAATAGGGAGACGATGATGGGTGTGTATGTTTACCGAGCAGGTGGGCTGGAGGGAGTACTCTTACTGGAGCAGCAAAGCATAGATCCTCCCAGTATGGCCAGACCAGCGGCTGCCCAGCCCAGATACAGACCAGTACCCAGCTCGAACCTGCAGCACAAACTCTAAAGATTCAGCAGCAGCAACACACACACACACACTGCTGTATGAATGTGTGTGTGACTCACCGGACTCCTCCGTAGAGCGGGTCGTAGAAGTCGTTGATGACTCTGGCAGCGTACCAGGACACGGCGATCAGAGTGAAGAGACCTGAAGAAAAACACAGAAGATTCAGTTTCCAGCTGCTCGAGCTCCGGCGTCTCTACACATCCCAGAACTTTGCAAAAGCCTCGTTTTAATCTGAATATTTTGTAGATGTTTGTTTTCAGTTAAATGAGGAATAAAGATTATTCCATCCTGATGTGCACATGCAGCGATATCTGTTCTCTAAATATCAACATTTCTTCCTCCACAAAGAAACACTCCCAGTGAAGTTCTGATCATAACACAAACACAGACTGTATGTCATCATCATTTACATGTTCTGTCTACTCAACATTTCCTGTACGACAGCCGTCATTTAAAAAAAAAGTGAAATTGCAGCTTCCAGTTTTGTGCAGGTTTAACTGCAGGAAGGAGAAATTAAACGAAAACGCTGCTTTTTTACAGGTGTTGGGTTTGTTTCTGCTCCAGTCCCGAAGCCTCGTACCCGACAGGATGAAGAGGATCCCTCCACTCAGGACGATCTTGGCTTTGACCTGCTCGGGCGTTCTGCCCAGTTTGGTGCATTTGAGTCCCAGCACGGAGACGATGATGGAGGTCAGACCGAAGAGCAGGGACAGGATCATCAGAGCCCTGCAGGTCTGCAGGTGAGCTGCAAAGCATCATTACAGGTAAATGAACATCTTCATCATCGCACAGCTTTACAGTTTTTGCAGATGTCTTTTCCCTTTTTATAAACCCAGTTTGTGTTGTGGGAACAAGCCACCATCTAGTTCCCACAACATTAAGCAACATTGTCCTCGTGGGACTCATTAAAGGGCCTGTTTGCATAAGTTCATGAACTCGCTATAAATAAGATATCTGACCTCTTGGTTCTGTCTCGGCTCTCAGGCAGAAACAGAAATGAGTTTTTTTCCAAAACTAATGCTCTCATAAATGAATGATAAATAATTGTCCTTGCTGTGGACCTTTCCCTGTGCTCCGATTGAGCCGTCATCATAACTCCATAAAAGCTGCTGATGATTACGAAGCAGCTGTTCTCACCCGACAGTCCCAGCACCGTCTTGAACTTGCTGCACTGGATGGAGCCCATCGAGGTGGCAGCGCAGCTCATCCACAGGCCCTCGAACTGCCACTGGCTGGTGGTAACCGACTCCGACTGACTCCTCATCTTCCACACCTGGTTGGAGGTACAGCTGGACTGCAGACACCAGGACACCACGCCCAGAAACAGACCCACAATCTGCAGGCCCACCGCCATTCTGCTCAGCGTCCCCGCACACACCTGGAACACCTGGAACACCCGGAACACCTGGAACACCCGGAACACCCAGAACACCCGGAACACCTGGAACACCTGGAACACCCAGAACACCCGGAACACCTGGAACACCTGGAACACCTGGAATAGGGGTGGGTTTTTATAATCGATTTATCATTAAAATCGATTCTGGCTTGGATAACGTAAAATCGATTCATTAAAATCCTGAATCGATTTTTTAATATAAATTTATTTTGCCCGAAATGCCAGAATCTCAGGTGAAATCTCACAAAATTTCAACAACCACCAAACAGCTAAGACAGTAAATGAGAGCAGGAACACGGATTCTGCACAAAGACTTAAACACACAGCGCAACCCGCGGATCAGAATCAGTTAGATGTCGCCTTTCTCACAGTCGGGGCTGAAAGCCGACAGCTCGCTGATTCTGATCTGTCGGCGGGTCCGCGCTTTGTGTTCACGCCCTTAATGCGCCGATTCTAAAGCTGTTAGTTTGATGTCTCTCCAAACAATATTTACCGAACCAGCAGCAAAAGAAGATCCAAACTACGCTTCACATAAACATCTTCATGAATTCCCTCTGACTTTTACTGATTTGCTTCAACCATGATGCACAGCTCTCTCTCTCTCTCTCTTTCTGTACTTCAACAACAGTTTCTCGTCTAAAAATCTGTTTTCTTCATTATTCGCTTGCTTGTTACGCACAAGTCTACTGTTGTTTACAGCACTGTCAGCCGACGTTTTTTTTCTTTTACTTACTTCCGAAAAGAAAACCTAATTTCTGCCGTTCAATGCTGAACAAATTTAAACTTTTTAAAATTATGCAAAATGCAAAACGCCGTGTCTCTAATCAAACCGCTGTAACGCCAGAGGTGATGTTCATATGTTGATTAATGGTTTTCTTTCGTTTTTCATCTACTGCAGAATATTTTTATAAAATCCAGGCCAGAAAAATCACCTTCATGTTTTTCTGTGTTTTATCTTCAGCTGACACAAAGGCCTCTGCTGTGATGCTCACACCTTTGATAAAGTCTTGCATGTGTCAGCTTCCTTTTTATAGATACAAAAATATGTAAATGTGCTGATCTGGATTATAATATTTCTGACTGTCAAGTGAATCGAATCGAATTAAATCGAATCGTGGATCGAATCGATTCTGGACTTTGTGAATCGGAATTGAATCGATTCTAGAAATCAGTGACGATACCCAGCCCTAACCTGGAACACCTGGAAACAGATGATTTTGAAGCAGGAGGCACGAGCTGTGTTGTTTGTGGGGTTCCTCAGGGCTCTGCTCTCGGTCCACTATGTTTTTGGTTTACTTGGTACTCTCACACACAATCTGTAACATGAACAAAAAGGATGACGCCTTCGTGTGACATCTGACACCTCCATGAAGTATCAGTGACTGAAATTAAGCTGAAATTAAGCTGAAATGAAGCTTACCAATCAAACTAGTATTAAATGTTGTGTTTAATATTATTTTTTACTTCTTCAAGAACTCAGATAATATTCTGAGCTGATACTAAAGATATATTTTCGTTAACAGAACATAACACAGGAAAACAGCACTGGATCAGTGACGTGGACCAAAGTCCAAAGAGCAGCTTTGACTTCGGTGTTTACAAAGTTTACTCTGAGCACAGAGAGTAAATCACCGCTGATGGACGTGGTGCACGAGCTCACTGTGGAAAGATCCGAACCAGTTTGTAAAACACAAACTCAAATGCAGGCGGTCGACTCAAAGTCAACTACTTTCCCATCTCGGTGTGACTCCATAACACGTGTAACAGGATTTCATCAGTGATTATAATAAAAGTATCGCTGTTGGGACACTGTGTGATTTACACTCGCTGGCCACTTTATTATGTACACCCTGCTAGTACGGGTTGGACACATTTTTCCTTCCTTCTGTTCTCGCTCTTCGTGTCTCAGATTCAACGAGGTGCTTTTGAATCGGGGATTTTGAATCTCCCTTTGCCCCACACCCCAAAGGTGCTCTGCTGGATTGGGATGTGGTGACTGTAGAGGCCATTTGAGTTAAAGAAACAAATTTCAGGGAGATGAACAAAGAGGACGTGTCCGTCCCAGCAGAGTGTGCATCCACACTATCGTGTTTTCATTTAAAAATAGAAACTATCTGCAGCAGAGGAGACGTGAAGCTCAGTTTCTCCTGTACAGACCTGTCGAAACGCGTCACCTGAGCCAGTCGTTAAAGGCTAAAGTGCAGCTAAAGGTTTGACGGCTGGAGTCCGATGGATCGGTTCTTACCGTTGGCACAGGTTTGGAGGTTGTGGAGAGGCCTTCTCCAGGGTTTGTGTCTCTGCAGGCGTCGCTCAGGTTGTGTCTGCGATGTGAAGCGCGGCGGTTTGAAGCGGGTCTGATCTTCTGAGCTGCTGCTGTTCAGGGTCGATGAACTCTGGGAAAGGCCAAACCGTCTCTAAACACACATCAGTATCGACATTCAGGAATCCCAGAGTTTCACCTCCCACCGTTTGTGATGAACTGGTTTCAGCCGTCAAAGATAAAGCCCTGCTTCCATGCAGAGGTGGGACGAAATATACAAAGGAAGGAAATCTGGTGTTTAAAAGTCCTTCAGAGCCTTTTTATTAAACTGAAAACAGCAGGTTTCCTCTCTGTGATCTTTTATCTGGGAAGTCCTTCCTTATTTTAGTAAGACGACTGCAAACAAGCTGCAGTGATTTTAACGGCAAATGTTCCCTGAGGAACCAGAGGGTTCGCACACCTCGCACCTCCTTCGTCAAGTGTTTGGTTTGAAAAGCTCCAGATGTTTTCAGCTGCTGACAGATGTGGAGTTTAATACTCCGATTCTCTGGATGTGGGAATATGCTGTTTGTATGAAATCAGAACCTCTGTGCTGCTCTAAATCCCTCACAGATCATTCAGCATCACGAGGTCTCACAGATGTGCTCATGTCTGATCTCAGTTGTGAATCAGTTTAAAGGTTTGAATGAGTGCGTTTTATTAAAGAGAGAGAAAAAGTGCGAGTCTCTGAGCGAGGGTCTTTTCTTTAGTTTGAGGGGTGCAGTGTTCATACCAGAGTCTCGTTCATCGATCACAAGCTCTGGTGTGCTGCGCTGCGCTTCAGCTGCTCTCCTCTCTGCTGTTGGTTTGTCACAAACAAAGAGTATGAAGCTCTGCCATCATTATCAGACCGCTGCCTACACGACTGTGGGAACAGGTCCCTACAGCTGAACAAAGACTGTATCAAGACAATGGCTATAAAGGAGCTGTTAGTATTTTGTTTACTTGTTGATGTTGGTGCTGTGTTGTTTTTGGTCCCTTTGTTTTAAACTTTGAATAAATCTCAGAAAATCAGGTTTTGATCAGTTTATTTTTCCACAACACAAATATCATCGAGTCTATTTTAAGAAAACCCAGCTTTATTAAAGCTGTGAGCCAATCGCAGCAGGCGTACGACGCTCTCCGTGACGACCCTTCAGATCGCG